TGTAATCTTTTTTGAAAAGTTCGTTGTGTGTGGCTGAAAATTGTTTTGACATTTTATTCTGATTCGTTTTTGGGATCATAAGTTGTTCAATCAGTTCACGTTCCCTCTCTCCATATATGCAGGACTCTTTGTTAAGGGATTTGGTAGAACAATAGCTTCATCTCTTCTGTGGTATTTGTCTTGTCCTGATGCAAATGTTGTTGTTTACCAATTTTGGTGGTTAAATTTTTACTTTGATATGCTTGAATTTTGGATCTTGGTTAAGAATTTTACACATAATCACTCTTTGATTTGTGTCTCTGAAATGGTATCATTGTGGATGCAGGGAATTGTCAAATTCGATCAGTGTTTTGAGGTTTTCTTTTTGTTGAGATCCTTCTCTCAAAATGGGCTACTATAACAATGTAAGTGCCTTTTGATTTCTTTTTCTTGCTGTAACATAGAAATTGTTGTTCCGTTTTGCTTTGTTCTAAAGCACGATACTATTGCAGGTCTTTGATGGGTGCAATGACCAAACTGATATTGGTATGTTCATAACCGTAATCACAAACGATTTTAAATACATGATTAAGCCTTGTTCATGAGTTTTTCAGTTTCATAGTTCTAAATTTGCAAGTATTAAAGTATATTTCTCCTCTACGTCAGGTGGAGTTATACGCGATGGAAGGGAAGTCATTCTCCAGGTAAGATCATCTTCTTCTTAGGCTCTTCTGATGGTACGGTTCTTATAGTAATATGTTAAGGACTTGAGGATTTTTAACACTTATATTGTTCTAAGTCTTTTAGTCTAGAGAGCCTAAGAGAAATTTACATTTATATTTCAGGCTTATAACTGGGAATCTCATAAGCATGATTGGTGGAAAAACTTGGATGGAAAAGTTCCCGACATTGCAAAATCGGGCTTTACTTCTGCTTGGTTGCCACCACCATCTCAGTCTCTTGCACCATAAGGTTAGAGGAAATTGATATTGATACAAATATAACACTACAAAATAACAAGGCAATTTCAGACGGATTTCAGACCAATTTTCCATGTTTTGAATCGGCTAAAACTGTATCACGTTCTAATTTTGGACCTTAAATGTGGACCCGAATCACTCAATGTATCAAAACAAAAACAAAAATCTGAAGACAAAATTATAGCCAGATGAAAGAAAATATCTACACCAATGGCCAACAAAAATAGAAATAATTATAATTTTGCGAGTACTCGCAAAAAAAAAAAAAAAACTCTATAAAAACGCCAAAATCAGAAATTCACAATCAAACACAAACCCAAACCACAAACGAAAAATGGCGAACGCAAATCCAGAATCAACCACCCAGACGACGGATCTGGAGCTTAAGAAGGTATTCGACCAATTCGATTCAAAGGGCGACGGAAAAGTCTCTGTTTCTAAGGTCAACGACGTTCTCAAATCGATGGGTAGGTCGTACACGTTCGAGGAAATAGACCGTTTATTGGACAAGATCGACAAACATCGCGACGAGAATGTGAATTTCGAGGAGTTTCAGAAGATCATGTCGTCGCCGGAACTTCTTAAGAATCAAGGATCCGCCGCGAACGCAGGTTCCGGTTAGGGGGTTTTTGTTCCCCCTTTTGGTCGTATCTATGAAATTATATGTGAGAAGTACCTTTTTTTTTTAGGTTAATACTAATAAAATCGATCTCTTTCCTATATATATATGGGAATGATGATGATGAAACAAGTCTATGTTGGTCGATAACTGAGTTTAGTTTTTAATAATTAATTATTTATGTTAATAAGTCAGAGAGTTGTGTCTGTCAGTTTTTTATGTTAAAAGTAAAGAGTTAGTGTTTGTGTTGTTTCGGTCAGTCAGTTTGTGCCTATATGAAGACGTTGTCTTTGTATTTGAAACATATAGTTTCCGATTAATAAAAAGTTTGTGCTTTTCAGTTTGTACTCTGTTTTCTCTTCTTTTCTTCTTCTCTTCGTGAAACAACCAAAAACAGAGAACAACTTGTTTTTTTTTTCTCTCAACAAGTGTTGTGTTACTTAAAGAAGAAGCAATAGCAATAGCGATTAAAACAGTCTATATGTTTGTTCAAAAATAAAATAAAATGATTACTTGAAATTTTAAGCATTTCGATGTGTTGATTTTTGTTTTTCTCTGCGTATGCATTAGAATTATGAGTTAAAATAATTGGTGAAGTCTGGCTCTGATGTTGTACCCTAGTCGAGAGAGAAAAGAGACTTGATGATAATAAAAAAAACCAGACTTCGAGCAGAGAAGAATTAGTTTATTCCCATAGAAAACAATGAGGACAACAAAATGAGGTTATAATAATGAATACTTGGTCCAAGGGAAGGATTATTCCTAGTAACAAGTATAGTTACAGGACAAGATCCGTGGACGAGGCGGAATAGGCAACAATGGAGGCAGTGGTCGAGGGCACAATATAATGCTTGCTTCTGAGATGAATATTCTTTTTTTTTTTTTTTCCGAGTTTGTAGTTTCTCCCAATGTCTATAGTTGCATTTGCTCGAATTTGACATTTGAGTTTCTGTATATTGATCTGGTTCTGCTCTGTATCTTCGGTATTAAACAGTTTTGTTTCGTGTTTGAGTTTATCAAGTTGTATCTTTCTCTTGGTCAGGTACATAGTAAAGAGGCTTTAGATGGCTGCTAGGATGATTGGAGCAATCGGCCCGGAATATATTATTGTTCAATCATCGAGCCCTTATGGTCAGAAAGTTGTTGTATCCATGTTTGGTCATTATACATGGTACCTTGAGTAACAAACTGCCGCCTTGAGTAAGGAAGCTGCTATGAGAGAAATGTCCTCTGACTACCTTTATATGGGAGGAAATTACTATAGTTATGGTAATGTCCTCTCATAAATTTGAGGGGCTACGCTTCGATATAGATGTATTGAAAGCCTTAATTTCTCTTATTGAGGAGTGAGGACGAAGACTCATTTAACCAACTCGTTT